CTGCCATACAAGCATTTTCAACATCTTTCATATAAGCGGAGTCAATAAACGAGTGTTTTCCCACCAGGATCTCTCGTTGAATGACAGCACTCCGGTCCAAATCCACCAGGAGCTCGGTAAGTTCGTTTGGCCCCGAATCACCACGAACGATGACTTGGATATGAGCGATACGAGCAGGTCGAGAGATTTGGGGCTGTTCAAGATGTTCTCTCTCCAAGAATGCTATCATCTCCTGCTTTGGTGGTTCTTTCAAGGTGATGACACGAAAGTTGAAGCTTTTTCCGTGGAGTAGCTCCTGGACAACTTTTGCTGCCTACTATATGGTGAATAGAATATTCCACTTCTGTTTGATATAGAGGACATACCTTGGTAATTTCCTGGGGTCCAAGTGGATCAAAGGGGTGTGTATCAGACATAATGATGTTATTTAGGAAGTAAAGTAAATGGCAATATTGAAGACAGTGTGATTAATCTGGACTTTTATAATTCAACCTACAAGATATATAAGCCATGTCATACACAAGCCAAGATAACAAGGAAATGCATGATATTCGCTAAGATATAAGAATAACCGAAAAGATTGGCTGGTCAATCGCAAAGGTAAAGAATAGCCGGAGGACCGGATATCTTCGACTTCAAAGGTTAGAACGGAAATATTTTGATCCACAGGTATGATTTCAATCCAGCCTTTGAATATAATCTCATCTGGTTATGTGTATTGAGTATAAAGACTCGAAGTATATGCTCTAAGCTTGTATACTACATCTTGATAATGGACTGACTCTATTATAAACAGAACCGAAAGAAACAAGGGTAATCAGCCAACAAGAATGACATTATTAGCAATAAATACACAATAGAATCCTTTCCAAATACACACATGTAGTCACATACATAGTATGTATAACCAAGTGGGATTTTTCGGATTTGCACCGTCCCCGCTATCTCCCTCTCGCCCCCGCCTCAACTCCTTTCTCCCCTCCAACTTGTCTACTGGGGGTATATTCACTGCAAATATGACTTCACCTCGCACGGTTCTGGTCTTCCAGCATGACGCTAGTCTGCACGTTCTTGAAACCACAGTGACGTCCATTATCCCTTTCAATGCCCTCGAAGAATCCAGTCGTGTACTCTTCAAAGATGTCAGCGAGGAACACCATGTCATTGTCACCGAGAAAACCATTTTTCATCCCCAAGGTGGCGGCCAGCCTTCCGACACGGGTGTGTTAAAAGGCCCATCTGGCACTTTCACAGTCACTGCCGTTCGCACAGATGCCAATGGACAGGTGCTTCACCTGGGTCTCTTCGAGAATGCATCATCCACTTTCAAAAAGGGCGAGACCGTCCAGCAGGCAATTGATGTGGAAAATCGTCTATTATATTCACGTTTGCACACTGCCGGCCACGTACTAGGCGCATCAGTCCGGCATCTTTTGGAGAAAGAGATTGAGAACTTCGATGAACTGAAAGCCTCACACTTCCCCGACTCGGCAGCATGCGAGTTTCAAGGTTCAATCGACGGAAAATGGAAAGATTCTATCCAGAACAAGCTAGATGCATATGTCGCCGCCAAAATGCCTGTTCAAATCGAATGGTGGGATGACGAGGATTTTCGCTCGCGTGGTCTGGAGCGATTGATTCCTGATCGCAGTTTGGTGCCTGCAGGTGAAAAATCCCGTGTCGTTAACATCGTTGGCGCCGAGGTGTACCCCTGCGGAGGTACGCATGTCGATACGACCGATTTGTGTGGACCTGTGACGGTGAAGAGGATTTCAAGGAAACAAGGAAACTCGCGAGTTAGCTATGTGGTGAAATGATGTTGATTCGTTTGTGCCATGTCCAAATTTTGAGAATACCATATAGACAAGGAGTAGAGCTTAACACAATAGACCAAAATAATGGATATTTTGACGAGACCTTATTCCGAGTTGCTTTCTACCTTGGCAATTTGATACAGAAGAATTCCACAGTACGTGTGAGAGCAATGGGAATATGCCAAGTCTACCGTGTTGTTCCCTTTCAGATGTCTTCAAGACAAGGGTCCAACAGCAAAAGGCCTCTAACAGTGCGAGTGAATGCTCCAGGGCAAAAGGAAAATGACATAATGTCAAAAGTAAGCGCTAGGTTTATCGAGATGGTTCTATGTCTTGGAGCTGATAGTTTCCCTCCGAGGGACTACCGCGTGAAATGAAGGGCTGCGCAAGAGCCTCCTCATCACCCAGTTTAGCAAATCCATCGGGCCCAGCAATATCGGCTTTGTCGTAGGGAACGTCGCACATGACCGACCGTAGCGGTGGATAGTAGCGGCGGTACGAGAACCAAGCTATCAGCATGCCCAGGAGTCCTCCACACGTCACATCATATACATCATGTCGATAATCGGCTAGACGGGAGAGGGCAACCATCAAAGCACATAGTAATGGAAAAAACGCAAGTAAACAGCGTCCAAGGTCTGTTCGAGGACGGAAGACATGCATTTGACCACACAAGAAGCTATAGGGTCATTGTCAGATCGAGTGTCCCAGCGCTGTGCGTTTGAAGAACCACTTACAGATATAGATAGCCCAGGCCACCAAAAGAGAAGCTGCTATGTCCACTAGGGAAGCTCCTCCATCCCTCTTGTAGAATGTGCTGGTTGGATTCTGTGCAGACGGTCCATGCGACCAGCGCATTGTTTGATGTACCCCGGGAGGGTTTGCAGCGCGACAACAAGTCCGGACGTGGCCTCCCTGCCGCATTTTTTATTATGTCCGTCAGGAACGAGGTCAACATCAAAGCCACGAATAGCCCCAGTGCTGTCACTTGCGTCTTTTGCACACCGGCGCGAAACATTGCGGACCAAGCGAGAATAACTAGGAAAGGAATCAGACCAGCGAAGATGACCGACCACACTGTTACTCTCCGTTAGAATGAAGGAAAATAGACTGTATTATTGGCAATTGACTTACAAACAGGAACTCGTTCATGGACGGCGAAAGGGTACTGAATGGCCTTGTTATCCAGCGAAAACATGCGATGGAACGGGTTCACGAATAATTGAATCTATTGATGTGTTAAAAAAACCCCTCCATGGGTGTATTTCACCATTAATATCATTTAGGACTTACGAGTACCCATCCTGCCACGAGAAACCCCAATGCGACGTAGTCGGCGGCATAAGTGCGTTGCGCAAAGCGAGCTGCAGCACCAGCGAGTCCAACGCGTTGTAGAATCGGGGTTGACCCGTTCCCCGAACCATTGTGAGGCATCCTGCACAACTGCCGAGGACTTCAGGAAGATCTTTAGATCTTCACTGGGAGTATGTCGAAATTGAAAAAGGTCAAGTTGACATTCGACACATTGCAGAAGCACAGACCACGTCACCGCCTCTCTCCGCTCTGTCTCGCGCAAACTAAGAGGAACTTCCACTCTGCTCACTTGGCTCACCTTTCTCTTCTTTCTCACGTCTATTAACTTCTCCTTGTTGATCGATATGGCCGATGAGAGCCAACAACGAGCCGTGAACACGGCATTTGCGCCCCCGCCGCCCTTATGGAAACACTTTACGCGCGAGAATATCGACAAGGTGGAGCAGATCAAGGCCGAAGCTTCCAAGAAGGAAGATGGACGGTCAAATAAGAACCACCAATGGTCAGCAGCCGAATTGCGCGCTCTGGAGCTCCCCTCAGAGCTCCGGTACCTGGTGCCGCCCGATATCCCTGAAGGACAATACAGTGTTTTTGGCGAATTGCAAACCGTTCGTCCACCTACACCTGAACTCTGCACCTGACAATACTGACTCTAAAATAGATGTCTACAACCTTGCCATCATTACAAGAACAGGGAATTGAACAACTCTACCCAGAACCCACCGTAGCCGGTACCGAACAGAACTCGCAGCCCTCGCCCCCTCTCAACCACGCATACTACCTTCTTAAGATCAGCAAGTCCTTGCTTCTTAATTTCCTAGAGTTTACCGGTATCTTGTCGGTTTCGCCGGAACAATTCGAATCCAAGGTCGAAGATCTGCGCAACTTGTTTATCAATGCGCACCACCTTCTCAACCTCTACCGTCCCCACCAAGCCCGCGAATCACTCATCATGATGATGGAAGAACAGCTCAATCACAGCCGAGAGGAAATGAGACAAATGGAAAAAGTCAAAATGGAGGTTGAGAGTGTACTAGAGCAGTTGCAAGCGGAGGGCAGTCGTGTGAGTGCGACTGGGTCAGAAGACGATACCGACCAGGCCAAGGCGCTGAAAGAAAAGGCCGATGAACACTCTCGGTTGATCTGGGATCTACTGGACAAAGAGAATTGAATCTAACAACGGGCTGGTTTCTCTGAATTTGAACAGTATTGCCTTCTCTGAGTCAGATGACTGAAACTTTCCTGCGCTATGTGTTCAACTGTGACACTGGTTTCATAGGTCAACCTCGTCCTTGAATAGCCCAACGTGGCAGAATCTCAAACCGAGGATTCATCAACATCCAACATCCAACATCCAACAATATGTCCCTCGGGTGCTCTATCCCAGGCGTCTCATGGGCACGGAATCTCTCGCTAGGCTGATAAATATGACGCCCTGAGGTGTCGATTGAATCATCGCGCATTTTGCATCGGCCCGAGGCGGATATTGGACCGCACCAATATCTGGAGGAGATTCTCCGATGTTCCAACGAGCTGCTGCCACCAACCGCACCTCGTTTCAGAACACTAAAATATCTGAGACAGGCTGGCTCGAAATCTCATTCCATACACTTGAGAAGCCGGCAACATGCCAGTGTTCCGGGAGTATCTGCTGGGAATTCTCGCTTACAACTGCTTACTGCATCATATATGAGATGCCATTCTATTAAATACTGCTCTGGTCATCTCTACCAAATGCAATTCAAGTGACCGTTCTTCTATCTATATTAATATTTTCGTCAATTACAAGTACCGTAGCCGATAAACTCCTCACGCTAAATTGCAGCCAATGATACCGACCCTCAAAATAATAGGAAGAAAACAATGTGCAAATCAATGAGAGGTGGCACGCTGCTCCGCCCAGGCCTTGTCAATAGCACACTCAGCCAATCGCTTCAATTCCACAATGAAGTCGGCGACCATTTTGAAGCGCGCGAGCTCATCTTCAGGCAGTTTGCGTGAGAAGATACGCTCAATCATAACCGTGGCGACTTTCAATCGGCCCAAATCTTCGCGCGAATGTGGGTCCAATGGGTTCTGAAGAATGTTGCAGAAGATAGTGAGCAGCGCGGACATGGGATAGAAGATGAGAGTCCTAGAACGGATTAGCTTACGTCCCAGATAGCCATGAAAAGGAACACCCACCAGAAAATCCCGTCGACTACCACATGTTCTGCCGCCTCGAGGTAACATAGACTTGACCGACTGGCCTCTACTGAAAGTGCCATACTTGAACTCACCCCGTCCATCATGCCACTTTGTCCTTGCATCCATGCCTTGCATCTTCCACTCGCTTGATGGATGATGGTCATACATAGGTGATAGTTTAGACGCAGCATAACAGTGTTCATGCCCATATTCGGATCGGAGGTCTCGGAAGAAAAGGACATGGTTGGACGCCATTTAGGAGGGACCGATAGCCGCCATTCTTCTAGCGCGTCATCGAGTTCTCGAATTGACTTGAGCAGCTCGGCATCTGATTTCTGGAGACAGCTGACTGAATATAGCTCTCGATGTGCTCGGGATTTGATCATACTCAAGCGCAAGTCGAATGGAAACACTGGACCGCACCATGGGGCGTCCTCGTCGTCCACATCCAAGAATGCTCGATCGAGATAGCCCGGCGGAAGCGTCAGCTCACAATTTTCGTCAGTGATAGTAGGTGGCTGACCCGTGCGCAGTGCAAGGTCCTTATCAATCGTGTAGCAAATCCAAAATAGATTCCGCAGTTGTGCATGCTTTTTCTGGCTGCGCGCATCCGTCGCGGTGACGTCACCGCGATAAAGATTGCCACCAAGCATGAAGATGAGTCGCGCAGCAATCGCTGCGTAGTAGTTTGTTGCCCGCATATTTCCCGAGGATAATTCGAAGATAGTCTGATCGATTCACCGGTAAGACATCGGAATTATGCACCAAAGCGGCTCACTTACCAATATGGTAATAGCCTGGGCTGCGTCCAGACTGGCAGACTCTTGTAATACTTGAGGCATAAAGAACTGCGCCTTGGTGGCAAGTAGATCATGATCGACTGGAGTGGTCATAGTAGTCGCGTTGACAATGGTTTTGACGTTAGGTAGGCGAGAAACAAAGGTAAGAAATGCAATGACACAAACTCTGGCACTAGCTTGGCCATATTTGAGGGTAGATGTCGACTGACTGTAAGCTTTGTTGAGGGTCTCCTCGAAAAGATCCTGATCTATAATCGGAAAGATGCGCTGCATCACCTTGGAACTCTTATATGCGTGGAAGTACACTTGCACTGTTCTCCAGTCGGGAAGTTCATAGGGATTGCAAGTGTTAGTGCTCATGTCCATCAAAACAGTGTTGAAGGTTTGTCCACGCTCCTTATCCCAAGGTGCTCGGGCTGGAGTAAGTCTGTCAATTGCACTATGCTGTCCTGTGCGAGCTTTGATCCATTCCTGTCCCTCGGGAAAGAGAAATGGCGTGCCTGTGAGTAAACTGATGGCACCCAACTCTTTGCCTGCAAAGTGAACTCGCACTGACGATGGGTCTGGACACTGAGTGTTGCATGGGGAGTTGGTGCCTGTCGTGTTGGCTTCGTAAGATTGAGGCGAGTCTTCAGGCACTTGTGCCAATTAGTCTCGGGGTGCTCCTAGGTTTGCATATTGAAGAGACACTATACCAGAGTTTTGATCGGCCAATAAGTTCTCTGCCAGAAGCTGCTCGATGCGACTAATTCGCTCCGATAGCCGTGAAACTTTGGGGCGTCTTTATCTTCAACGTCAGACACACGAAAGAACAAGCTCGACGTACAGGCTCACCCCTCATCGTTGACGTTTTTCCTTTTCCTCTGCACCACTCTGTCGAATGTGCAGGGAATATTATGGTGACTGCACCAATTACACTGCGGAAGCGCAGCATCACATTTGATCTGGGACCAGTTTAGCGAAAAGATCGAGAGTTGATCAAGAACAAATCTAACCTTTCTTTTGTAACAGGAGTCACATGCACGGGCAGTCCGTGACCGCGGCTGATCAGGCGATGCATTAGATGCAGGATACATTATATATCAAGCCTTTGCTATCTTTTCAGGGAGATTGGCCATTAAGCTCAAAAGAATGCCGATGCCTTGGCTCCGAAAGCCGCTGACAAAATGACCGCTGACTCAGCCAAATATATGCCTCAGGCGTAGAGTGAAGTCATGATTTGAGATTTGACTTTATAAGTCGAAGATATTTTACATCAATTAGTTAAAATTCATATAACCTACGAACTAACAAAAGAGCCATTGAATAATAGATGTATTGGTGCGCTCAGGGTATCGCATGTACCCAACCATCAAAAACGGGAATGAAATTAGACGCAGAGTATCCCTGATCTCCTTGGACCCTGATCCACATATATTCCCCGTATATTTGTCTGGTGACCTCTCCACATGCGATCAGACCATCCGCCACCGGAATTCCCAGAAAAGCATATCGAGGGAGATTGAGATGAATGGCCGCCAGCTCACATCACAGTGCATACGCAGAAATCGCACTCTTCATCGCCACAGTCACAGCCAAAGCATGGCTTGGAGACTGATTTGATGGGCTTTTTAATGGAGCTACCGGAGCTGCTAGAAGGAAGGATGCAGTCGAAAGGAGTTGAAATAGAGGTGACAGCCATGATGGAGGCTAGAAGGCTTGAATCTATTGAGATTGTCAGTTAGATATCCGAGAGAAAAGAAAAATCCATGGATTTTTACAAAACACAAACCAAAAAAAAAAAAAACACACACACAGAGAAAGAACAGCGTACCGTCAAGCAAAGATAAAACACAATATAGGGCTGAAAGCAGTGAGGGTTGGGGGAAATGAAGAGGAAGTTGAGAAAATCAGGTCCCAGCAGGCAGCCATATAAAATAACTAATATAACATAACTACGGAGAAACATATCATAAAAATATACCCTAAGTTATATTAAATGTTCCCAACTTCCCAACATATCTCGAAATGCAAACCTAAGAATTAAATCATTGGAGCCGTACAATTTTAATTTAGATTGATCCTCTCCCGTAAGAGAGCTCTGACGTTGGCGTATACTCTTGTCTTGCTTTAGCCTTGGTTGGGGTTGTACTCTTGATGTACTACTTAGTTACCTATTTACTCATGTTGAAGACCCCCAAATAACATTTGAATGAGCCGTATAAGAGAACTAGAAGTTCAATAACCCAAGATCGAGCCCTGGGAAGAAAAAATAATTGAAGACTTGATACAAGTAAAGTCTTTGCAGATGAGATCGAACGCTAAAATACTGGTAATCTATAAACAGTAAAGTAACCTACATATTTCCGAACCCGTATCTAGATCTGAATAGTCCTCGCAAGAGATGGTGGCATAGGACAGTAAGCATAATGGCATCATCTGTATAGGCCAATCCGAGCCATCTTTATTCCATATATCAGCCAAAGAAAACTTGTGAAGACATAGACAGGTCGTTACTAGACCTAACCTTGTGATATTTATTAGATAATCTTGTTTCGTTTCGCTTCTCATGTTTGAGGAGGTAAGCCACTTTACGATGCTGACGCTGAACGAGATATGCGGCTCTGACTGGCTTTGCGTAGATGCTCCTCATTATGAATGCACCGGTAGGGTGTCCGAGAGTTCATTGTGAACGTGACGGTGGTACTCTGAAATTTTCACTCAAAGACAAAAAGCAGAAGTCAAGAGACCACTCTATGCAGTCAGGCTCAGTCAAATCACTCAAAGCCTCGAAGGGGAGAAATAATGAAAAGAACGCCTGCACTGAAAGGTATGTACGGGGCTGTCCAAATCCATGTACACCAGCAATCGTAAGAAATACGGTGTAAAGAAGTAGAAATACCTAGAGGTATTTCACCATTCTATCATACTTAGGTAGCCCTGGAAGATCTGCCTCGGGAGGTTTTATAGATGGAATGGGAAAGGAAACCTACCCTGGTCAAATTGAAGACATGATCGTCCACTCCAAGTGCCTTCACGATATAGATTCGTGTATAGAGCCTGAGAGGAACCAGAATAAAAGAGGTTAATGTCATCGTCCACATCACCGAAATGGCTCGAACGCCTTTGCCAGCTAACATCGTCCAAATTCAGAATGTCGGTAAAATTAGGATTATAGAACAATGGAGACCGGAGCTTGCTAGAGTGAGAGATCGAAAAATTAGACGACTTTATTAGGGTACAAATACATCCTCTTCCTTGACTCAATGTCTCAATAAATCAGAAAAGAGAACGTAAAAGAAGACAGCCAGGAAACTACTCCGTACAAACCAGGCCTAAACCCTTTAAACGCGATACAAGGGTGATAGTAGACTTCATTCTCGCCCTTTGATAGTTGTAATTTGCATACTACTTAATTATGTGATAGCCTATATAGTTATATTAAGGGTCGGGACGGTAACATTTTAGCTTAGCAACGGCTAGTAGCGCTTAGGGAGTTCACAAAGCCAATGAGATTCTTCCAATTTGATATCCCTTACACCGTATCTCGTACTTTTGGTGCTTTTGGCTATTGCGGTGTGTTGAAGTGTCTTTCCGGTAGGTCATTCGACAACTGTCACCGGATCATGGCCCGTTTGGGTAAGTAAATTCTGTGCTTTCCAAGTTAATTGGAGCTAATTTTTCCATCTGATTGGCATTAACGGGGCCTACTTTGGAGCATGATTGAATTTAGGCCTATTGGAGCATGCACGGTCATCCTATCCATAGGATCGGCATTGTGAGGGGTATATTCTCATACTCGCCCATGCATGGGCGTATAAATTATTGCATACGATACATCGACGGTTGAGGGATGTATCCAACTCCCCCGAAACAGTCCCCTTCCAAAAGAGTCCCCCCAACACAGTCCCCCCAAAACAGTCAAATATCATCACACATATCAATATCTTTACAATGTTAAGTGATGGGAATAAAGATGCCGCCACCATGCTTGGCTATGCCTTTCTCCTAGCACTCACGATCTGGTATTTAACGACGTATCTTCTGTCCCCGCTACGCAGTTATCCCGGTCCCTTTCTCGCAGGTGAGTCGACCAGTATCCTTCTAAAGACCAATTTGGCAGCAGAGGGAGCTAGTTCTATATTGACCTTTTATATTTTGGTAGGCTGGACGAATCTATGGCGCATGCTACATGTTCGCCAGGGAAAGTATCATGTGGTCATCCACGAGCTGCACAAGAAGTACGGCCCAGTGGTGCGCATCGGGCCCAACGTGCTCGACCTGGATATCCCCGAGTTGATCAAGACAGTTTACAATATCAAATCGGAGTATTTGAAGGTGGGTATCTCTCTTGCCGCGGGTGATTACGAGTATTAATCATAGCCTATGAAGACCGAGTTTTATCATGGCAGCAGTGCTAAAAACAACGGCAAAATCATCTACAATCTCTTCAGCGAGTGTAACCCTAAATTACATGCACAGCAGAAGCGACCCGTCTCGAAACATTACTCCCTGGCCGGGGTGCTTACGCTGGAGCCCCATATCGATGACATGATTTCCTACTTTTGTCAACGCCTGGAGGAGAAATTCATCGATGGATCCAACCCAACTAAGACATGCGACCTAGGCGAATGGATTGCGTATTGTAAGTTCAACCCCTGTAAATCCATCCTTCTTAGGACTTATAAATCGTCCAGATACCTGGGACGTGGTTGGCAATGCCACATTTAGCCAGCCCATTGGATACCTGGAACACGGGTATGACTTTGACAATACCCTGCACATCGCGAATGTGGCCATGGACTACTTCTCCCTCGTGGGACAGGTGCCAATTCTGGATTATTTGTTGGACAAAAACCCCGTCTACAGAATCGGCCCGCCATCCTTCGGGACCGTCGCCAACATATCAATCCAGCACCTCATGGACCGACTTCAGAACAAGGACACCCACTACCATGACCCCAGCAAGCCTGACTTCCTAGACAAATTCATCGAGGCCAAGGAGAAATCCCCAGACGCAGTGGGTGACTCCCAAATTATCTCGTATCTGATGATCAACCTGATTGCGGGAGCCGACACAACCGGCATCACCATTAACGCGGCATTGTACTTCTCCTTGAAACATCCTCACGTTTGGGAACGTCTCAGAGCCGAGATTCCCGCCTATGACCATACCACTGGAAACACGGTGGTATCGTACAAATCCGCCAGGCAGTTCCCATACCTAGATGCCGTGGTACGGGAAGCCATGAGATGTCATCCCGGTGTCGCCATGCTCATGGAGCGATACGTCCCAGAGGGTGGGCTTGCCCTCCCCGATGGAAGTCTCGTTCCTGCAGGGTCTATAGTTGGCATGAACCCCTACATTTTGGGACGCAATACGTCTGTCTGGGGCGAAGATGCCGAAGAATTCCGTCCGGAGAGATGGCTTCGCGATGAGAAACGGGAGACAGAAGATGCGTTCCAGGAACGTTTGCTGTCAATGAATAAGGCTGACCTCGCTTTTGGCGGTGGAAGCCGTATTTGTATCGGGAAGCATCTTGGTCTGCTGGAGGTGTATAAGGTGATTGCAACTCTTGTGTCACGGTATGATATCCAGCTGGCCCATCCAGAGAAGGATTGGATGACGCACAATAGCTTTTTTGTGCGACAGACGGGTATTGAGGTGAACCTTACTCGCCGGAGCTGAGATACTGCAATGTACGAGATGACGAGGCTACAGAGGTACAGATACATATATGTACGTAGTCTAGACACTTCTACACAGAGACTCGAGGTTGAAGATCAAAGCATGTAGTCATTGACAGTATATACAGCAGCAACTTTTGAGGGGTTTCATCAATCATCGCCGCAGTGACTGGGGTATCGTCTAGTCATCTCGGGCTTCCAAGCCATCCGTCTATCCATTATATAAATCCTTTTTTTCGTTCATCAATCCATAACAGAAGCAGCCTGCTTAGAGCTGCTCCACCCAGGGAGCGGCGCCGGGCTGCATCTGGTTCAGCCACTTGACAAGCTCAATGAGCTCGATCCGACGCTCATCCTCCAACTGATCCTCATCGGCGAGAACCGACTGGAAGATGGGAAGGAGGCTAGGGGTGAGTTCGCGGATGGTGACATCCTCCCACTTGTACATCTGGCAGATCATGCGGTACAGAGGCTCGTTCTCCTCGTAATCGTTCTTCAGGGGAAGGATGTTGACCAGAGCAGGAAGAACATCCTTGGTAGGGACACTGTCGCGGTAACGCAAGATCATGCGGCTGACACAGCCGGTGGCGTTATCCTGGAGACGCGAGACATCCATCTGAAGGCAAGCCTCAAGACGGGCAAGGATGGTGGGGATCTCCTTGATGATCTCGGCTTCAGCGTTGGAGTGCTGGATCAAGCGGCCAACGGCGTAGGCAGCGTTGGACTTGGTCTGAGAGTCCTCATCGGCGAGGCGGTGAAGGAGCAGCTTCAAGAAGACAGAGGTGAAGGGGGTCACGGCGGCACCCATACCGTTGATGCACTCAGCGAGGACACCGACAGCAGTGGCTCGCTCAAGAGACTCAGTGCTACCAGCGTAGCGAAGAATGGTCTTCTCGAACACCTTCCAGAGCTCAGCGAAGCTCTGACCCATGGCAGCAGCCATGCCGGAGACAACGTCCAGGGCGGTGTCGACAACGATCCAGTCAAACTCAGAAGATTCCTCACCAGCCTCGAGGGTCTCCTCCTCAGGGCCGAACTCCACCTGGCAGATGTGCTGCTTGGTGATGATATCAGTGACCATCTGGATCACATTGTGAAGCATGGTCTCGTTGGCAATGAGGGCGGGACCGCAGAAGCGCAGGTTCTCGGCCATGTTGCGGTTGATATCGGCGACAGTAGATCTATCAAGTATCGGTCAGCAATCAGGTCATTGAATCGACAGTGATAAATAATGAGGCGATGGTGGAAGTAGATCTCAGAGTGTAGACTTCGCCGTTTACATCAAGTACGCCTTTGGCGCATCAAAGTGAGCTGGGTTAAGCGGAAAACATCATCATAGAAATGGTTGGGCAAGGGCAGGAAAAACGGAAAAAAGGGTTACGTGAAACATACCGGTCATCTTCTTCAGTCCACATCTTGACAGTAGCCGTCATAAGGATCTCACCGAACTTCTGGACCTCTTTGGCAGGCTGAACCTGAAGGGGGAGACCAGGCTGCCATTTGGGCATCTGACCATTCTCCTCGGCGATAGCAAAGAGCATCGCGTAAGAGCGGTGCAGAGTGCTGATGGTGCTCTTGCGAACACCCTCGTAAGGGTGCTCACACAAGGGCATCACATGCTCAATGGTCTTCTCGAAATAGGGCAGGAATGAGCTGCGGGTGTGGGTGACAAGATCACCGATGACCTCAACAGCAATCTCCTTCTCGAGAGAAAGAGGAGTGGTGGCGGTAATGTCATCCCAGTCGTCCTCGTCCTCGAGGTCCACATCCTCGATATCACCATCATCTTCGTCGTCAGCACTTGCGACCTTGACCTTGCGGCCGTTGAAGGTAACCTCCTGGCCAACAAGGTCCTTGGCAGCACTGCCGAGGTCGACATCAAGGTCGCTCTCGTCCTGCTCGATGCAATCGTACAGACCCTTCACGACACCGTCAAGGAAGGGAGCGAAGTGCTCGCCGTAGACCTTGGCCATGGCACCCCAGAAGATATAGGTGCTCTCCTTGAGGCGGGAGTGACCGAGGTGCAAAGCTTCCTCAGTAGCACGCATGAGGGGCTCAACGTACGGCTGGTAACGCTCGGGGCCAGCGGCAGCGGCCATCTCACCCATGGAGTCGGTGACACTGGCACGAAGGTCAAGTTCATCCTCACTGTCCTTGACGGCAGCGAACTCTTGGAGGAGATGCATCGACTCATCGAAGAATGAGAGGAAGGAGTCTCCGGCAGAGGAGGCGAGGGAGCCAAGGGCACCGGCAGCAAGGGCCTTGATCTTGAAATCGGGGTGCTTGAAGAGGTTGTGCAGGATAGGAACAAGCTCAGCCTGGTAGGGAGAAACATCCTTCTCATCCAGACCATCAACGACAGCATCTATGGCACTAATGCCGGCCTTGATGATATCAAGTGTAGGGCCTTCCTCCTCACCCTTGTACTCCTGCATGGCGCTGGCCAAGTTCTGGAACAGCAACGGCATAAGGCGCGCGTGCTCGGAGCTGAGGTCTTCAACAAGGTCCTCTGCGAGACGAGCTACAGCGTGCAACGAAGCCTGGCGCACCTTGGGCTCCTGATCAGCAAGGAGTTGGAGGACCATAGGGAAGATCTCCTTCATCTGAGTGCTGATAAAGTCGGGGGCACCCTCGACACACATGCCAAGGGCCATGATACCAGCGCGGCGGTAGTCTGGGTCGGGGTTGTTGAAGTACTGGCCCAGCGCGTTGAGCAAGGGGACAACAACCTGGCTAGGAGGCAGGCTCTGGGAGAGCATGTCCAAGAGGCCGAGAGCAGAACGGGCAGGAGTGATATCATCATCGCCAGGAGCGGCATCACCCAGCTCGGTCACGATCTGGAGAGCGGTGCGGGTGAGCTCCTCGCCAATGCGCATACCCTGAACCTTGAGCTTGCGGTACTGGATGGTCTGCATGAGGAAGCTGATGGCCTGGGTACGGACATCCTCATCCACCTCGGTGTTGGCAGAGATCTGGTTCATCAAGACGACCAGGTCCTTGAGGTGGACAGTCAGCAAAGCAGGATCACAACCAAGCAGAGTCTGGAAGACTTCGAAAGACTGCATGATGTGGTCCTCCTCTTGTTTCTCAATGGAGTCCTTGAGGACGGCGACCATGGCAGGAACCATCTCCTGGAAAGCCTTGACGGGAGCCTCATCCTCCTCTGAGTCAAGGTGCATAGCGAGCTTGCTCAAAGACATGAGAGTGTTGATGCGAACTTCAGCACTCTCAGGGTCCCGGATCGTCTTGTTGAAGAGGTTGAAAAGGTCCTGGAACTTCTCCTCAAAGCCCTCACCAAGAGTGTCCAATATGGTGAAGAGAATATAGATAGCCACAGCACGCTCAGCGGCATTGCCGTTGTTACCAGCCTGCAACAGCAGGTTGGGCAGATCAGCCCACTCGCCGTCGTTCAAATCGATCTTCGCAATGGCGGAGATGATCTGAGCGATGGAGTGCTGGACGAGAGATGAACTCTCGCCCATGGTGGAGCGAAGCAGCTGCTCGCGGATCTGGGGCTTCTGGTCGGCAGGAACCTTCAACCAGTGCTTGGAAACGAGCGAACGGGACTCCACGGAAGAGAGCTGGCGCAGATTTTGGTCCTCATGGCTAGTGCAAATCTGGATGAGGAAGACAAGGGATTCGGGCTTGTTATAGAACTCCTTTTGCAAGACTCCGGTGGCCTCCTTAAGGTTTCCCTGGGAGGCTACATGAAGGGGTCAGCGAGACGAACATGGGCTTCGACGTTGCAAGACGAACTCACGATCCAGGATAATCTGCAATTGCTGCAGGAATCGCTGTTGATCCATGATGGAAGGGGGGATGGGAAAGATTTTCGAGTGATTCTTTTTTCTTTCTTTCCACGGTTTCAATTGCCCCAGGTCTCTATCAGAGACTCAGGCCACAGGAACAAAGATTGAGCGGTCTGTCCAAGACAAACAACTCAAAGGGGGTATCACAAAGCAATATTGACAGGAAGAAAAAAAAAGGAAAGAGAGAGGAAGATGAAGAGAAAAAAAGGAGAGTGGTGGGGGGGAGAACGAAGAAAAGAGAAGAACAGAAAAAAAAATTTAGGGGAGTGGGCTGGTGCCTAATTAGGTTTAGCGCGGGAACAGTTGTCAACACGCGGGAATTTGGGCAGAGATTTCTTTCAACTTCATCTACATTGGGTTATATTGGGTTATATTAGGGTCATATTTAGTAGGATTGTATTATATTATATATTAAGAAGTACTATCATATTATGGTGATCGTTCACACAGCTGGTACTTATTATAGAGAGCGCAATTGGGACACGATCATTAGTATACCAGCTATACCTAAGTCACTGGGACCTCCAGGCCACAGAAGAGTGTAGAAACTTCCCACATTGAAAATAGAAAAATTGGAAGAATTAACTGGGGAAAAAATCCCTTCGCTTCCAAACTCCTCTTCCGTCCATCTGGTTCGATAGTAGCAAACTGTGCTTCAGCAAAAAGAACACCGGTTGACAAGTGCTTTGTTAATGTACTAGCAGCCGTGCATCCGGTGGTTTCCAGAAGACCCACACACCAATGAAGTCCCAAATAACCGATCCATCACTTAATATTCATCAGTGTCATAATCATCATGGACTAGCGAGGAGCGGTAGCCACGTGAAGCGAGGTTGGCCTCTAGGCCACCGTCAGACGCAGGGTCAAAGTAACCTAAATCGGTCAGTAAAGTTCACGTTATTCAATGGTGATAGGTCAATTTGTACATACCACCGCCGCCAAAGTAGCTAAGAGCGACCGGTAAGAAGATAAGAGCATGTGTAGCAGCAAAAATCACCAGGGCTAGCCACACACGGAAGTAGTAGATCTCAAAGATCTTGCTCCGAGTAAACGCCAGGACGGAAACTCCTAAAATCTTGGTGACGGTGATACCACTGAAGACACTCCCACCGACATTGACCAAGGCCGCCCATGCTCGAGCATCCTTACCACGGAATTCGACAGGAACCTTCTCCATAATGGGGCGAGCGGG